TGTTTCAGGCGTTCATAGGCTACGGTAAACATTTACCATCAGATGTGCCGTATGCTTGATTGCCACCATCGTATAATAAAAAAAAAAGGAGGACCTAATATATACATTACTAACAACCCTTTCCCCGATGTTCTTTCGTTATCTATGACCCGGTGCAATGGAGTTGGCCTACTTATTCGCTAATTAAAGTATCATGTTTCATTCCCGGGCGAGCTAATAGAGGGAAAGTATTTTCATTTAATAATAGCAAACAACTTTGCATATTTTATATAGTCTGAATAGCAACGCAATTATTTTTATTTCACACTTTAATATAAAAATATCTTTTTGTAAAACTGCTTAGCAGTTAGCAGCATAGACAGACAGACAAAAATTGTAAAAATACAATTTTGGTGTTTGTACCGTATTTATATTTATATGCATAGAGTAAAAAACTGTTATTTCAATATTACAAACAGACACTCCAATGTTATTTATATGTATAGATAACAATATTCTGTTCTTATTAGCATTCCGTTCTTATTTAATGTTTACAACAGTAAATTGTGATGTATTGTGTCGTATTTTTCTTGTACCTATCTAATTATTTCTTAAGTTGCCCCGGTAAAGATATGCTTGGAATTCACAATGAGATATTTGTTATTTGGCTTGTATTTCTGTTTGATTCACAACATTTCGTGCTGTTGTATTGTTTTGTACCTGTATTTAGAGATATGAATGAAATGAAATTAGTTTTAATGAAGTATATTGGAATATATTAAAAATCTCTTTGCCTAAATTAAAACAACAAAAATTCTTTTTTTTCAACAATCGATATGCTATCTAAACTTACCTCTTTATAATATGTTACCTAATCTTACCTGTTTACCTAAATTAAAACAGAAATATATTTTTCCAATCCAATCCAAACAATCGATATGCTACCTAAACTTACCTCTTTGCCTAAATTAAACCTGTTATTTGCTTCTTCATCCATCCTTACTTACATGACTGTTACATTTTCTAAGGTACTCGATAAGAGCCTTACAAAGGGACCCTCGGAAGTCCTACGTCAATCGCAGTCGGCTTCATTAACGATAGTGATCACTTCGTATTAAGTGCGAGCCCTATTTTGTCAGCCCTTTATTCGCAGGCACTTGTACCCTTAGTATATAACTACTTAACTACTTACGTGTCCTTTACCAGAAAATAGGCACAATAGTTGGTTGGTTTTGTTTATTTATTTATTCCTTTATTTTACAATACTTGTGCCCGCGATTTCACATTCGTGAAATTTCAATAAAAACTATAGCATATGTGTCTGATACATAAGATATATTACTGTAAAGTTTCAAATTTAATTTCATCAAAATCCTGTACTTTAATCTCTTCCAGGCAACCCTTGGGGTTCAAATTCTGATATTTTTCTTGGAGAGATAGAGAGATTTAACAGAGTTCTTGATTAAACGGAATGGAAATTATTAGGGAATAGATGAGTGAGAGAATACATAAATAAAATGGGAGGTAAAGGTATACCTCCATGTGTTTTCCCCTGGAATCCATCATATTAAATTCCTGGCGAAATTGCCACGATGTACTAACTGACCTGACCTCATACTCATCTTATCACGCTCCACTGGTGTCCCGCCAGCGTATACCGTTAGATCAGGCAAGTGCACAACCGCCAGCATACTGGTCAAAATTATGACACTCATTTGTCAATACCGGCATGCTTCACTGGTGCCCCGCCAGCATACTGGTCAAAATGACCCCCATTTTTCAATACCGGCCAGAATCATAACACACATTTTTACAACACCGGTCAAAATCATAACGCACACTTGCCTCGCCGTATTCAGGTGAAAAACAGGTCAAGTTTTTTGAAAGCACGCCGCAAGCATAATCCCAGAAGGCTGTGCCCGAACTGAGCCAACTCCAGTACACTGTTCTATATGTATAATTCTTCTGATTAAATTCGTTGTGTGGTAAAACACCGCTTGATTTCCCAAGTGTGCATGACAAAGTCGTTCAGGCATAGAATCTGAAACTTGTACGGTTGTCCTGAGTTACGTGAATGTGACTTTGATATAGTTTATTTGATGTGTACCTATATATATACTTATACCTTAGACTTAGTATAAAGGTATATATATTATATATAGGTAGACTAAATAGACTGTACTAACTCGTCTAGATAGTACTTATATAAGTTAAGAATAATAATAACCCGAGACAATCCACACAGTGCCATATAGTTGTAAATTAAGCAAAGATTCTGTTATGGGTACTAGACAACTAGGTACATATAAAATAATACATCATATTATTTGTATATAATAATAATAATAAGGCCGTAAGTGTGGTAAAATAAACCAGCAAAAATTGAGAAAATGCGACAATAGTGTAAACAATAATAATTGTTACTGGAGCGGGAACACAACTACTATTTTAATAAAATCCAAATATTAGCAAAAATGTGTATTCTTCCCATATATAGGGCTCACAGCAAGAAGTAAAAAAAACATATATATTATAGTCAAAAGTGACGTATAAAAAATTGATATAAAAATATAAAGTTTATAAAAAGAATGATAGACAAGCTGCCAGCAACAATAATAATAACACGCGCGCGCACACACACACACACACACACACACACTGCACTTACTAATGGTTTCGGTCCGTAAGTGTGGTAAAAAAAACAGCTAAAGCTGAGAAAAAATAAAAGAATAATAATAATAATAAAATCACACAGCGCCATCTAGTCCCAAATTAAGCTATCTAGAGCTTGTGTTATGGGCACTAGACAATTGATATGAATACATAGTTTTTTTAATACATACCTATTATACATAGAAAATACTCAGAGTATGATTGTTTGTATAGGATAAATAATCATACTCATGAATACAAATGTTTATACCGTGCGAGGAATCGAACCTGCGACCATCGGAAGTAATGCGGTGTACTATACTGTTAGACCACCGAAACCGTCGGTTATTTCTTTTATTTTTATATTTATTTTGTCTGTATCTCATGCTGTGTTCGTAATTGGTTTTTATTTAATTAATCTATTTTCTTTTAAATTGATAAATTAAATAAAAAGTAGTGTCAAACGGTTTATCCACGATACGTTCATCCCATTTCATTCATCAGGCGTAGGTACTCCGAAGTGTTAAGGAGCTGATTTACTGCCCGCTTCCGTTGGATTGTCAGCGTTGAGCTTTTGGAGTGATATGTGAGAGGCCTTACTAGGTTACGTATTGAAATGATCAAGAAACGTAAATTGTTTGAAAATAACCTATTATAAGGTGCGAGTTACTTAAATACTGAATAGTAGATAGATAATTATTTTTTTGCCAACATAACAACAATTTACAAATAATGCACAAAATAAGAAATAAAAAATAACATTGAAAATAACGTATTTGAAGGTGTTATTTACTGAAATATAGAAATATTAGTATAGATATTTCATTTATTGCCAACATAACAACAATTTACAAATAATGCACAAAATAAGAAATAAAAAATAACATACAATGTTGATAATAGAAGGTACCTCAGCTGTTGCTGATATAAGTATAGCCTCAATACGCCCTTCATACAGGAGGACTACTGGCAGATTGCCGTCATCAGTGCCATGACCACACAGACAATATCAATCTTCAATCTAAATATATATATGTAACTCAAAGGTGCCTGACATAGTGATCTATCAACGCACAGCCCAAACCACTGGACGGTACGGGCTGAAATTTGGCATGCAGGTAGATGTTATGATGTAGGCATCCGCTAAGAATGGATTTTGATTAATTCTACCCCCAAGGGGATAAAATAGGGGATGAAAGTTTGTATGAAACTTTGTCAATTTCAAACCGATCGGGCTAAGACTTTGCATGCATAAAGCTACTATGACGTAGGCATCCCCTAAGAAAGGATTTTGATGAATTCCACCCTTAATGCGAATCCGCGGGCAAAAGCTAGTATATTATATTTTTTTATATTAATTCTTATGTATTCTATAGTATATAGTATGTTAGTCTATAAGGTATTTATATACCATGGTTACCGTTTACCATCAAATAGGCCAGCTTATTTGCCATTCTTATTACATAATTTAAAATAAATGTAGGTATTTTCCTTCTACAACGTCAATTATAAATTCAATTATTTACAATCCACACCTACACACAGCCTTCAATACAATAGCCAATACCTGAACATAACACCGTAATCCTCAGGATTAATACGCGTGAGGGAACTGACATGTTGTACTATATGTAGTCCTAATACTGTTTATATATAGACGGTTATGCAGATGGTTGTTATTAGCGAATAAGGGGAAGGAGAGGGAATGTTAGTAGCGGTGACTTTTTTATTATCCAAATTATTAGAAATCTGCTCATGACTTTTCCGTCAGTTCCGTTCGCCGGCTCCTCGTATAATGCCCTTTTTTGTCCTAGTTACTGTTCATAGGCCGCCATCTTGTGCTCCACTACTCTCGAAAAACCGGAGGTAATAACATAATTGATTTTGGGTTATTTGTTACTAAACAAAAACAACCCCAAATTATCACAAATCTAATTAAAAATTAAATAATGACAGAGTGGGATCTATTTATCTCAGAAGATTTTTATCAACGCAATCTTAGAAGAAGGGGTATTTATAGGTAGTATGCTCTGAATAATACCACATCAAAGTTCTTTTTTGTAAATATTTTTCTGTGCGCAATTAGAAGTTAGTTTGTTGTCTTCACTTATGTATTTATTATCTAAGTCTTCTTATATATCCTAGTATATTAGTTGTTATCGCCATAATATCGGCTCATTAGACACAGCGCCACGTCTTTACTCCTCGTTGTCTGTGCGGGGAATGCGCTTCCCTCTTGCGCCTCACGGACCGTGTGCGCTCAGCGCGAGACGATAGGTTAATGAACTGCTAGTGTTACACATACACTACAGTTTTATTAATATTAAAATCATAATACAGCACAGCTCACGCTTGACCATTCTTTCCAGATACGAGACTTACAAAGCAACGCTTAAGAAGATTCCTGCGACGAGGCTGTCCAGACTGACGGAGGCTCTTGCAAATTACGACCCAGTACTAAACGAGTATTTCTTCGACCGACACCCGGGGGTGTTCGCACAAGTCCTCAATTACTACAGGTGAGTGCAGAGTTGGATGATAATGGTATGGTGCACCCGTCTGCGCTAACGGTTTACGCTGGCGGGGCACCAGTGGAGGATGATGTGATGAACATGAAGTCAGGTCTGTTAGCCCATCATGGGAAATTCATAAGAAAATTCCTTGGTTTCCAACGAGAACCCGCTTTTAAATAGTCATACTTATTTTTTTAATCTACCTCTCATTCGAAAAGATGTCTCATCACAAGATGAACAAGCAAGGTACTTGCCTGTTGATCTTTGTAATAATCGTTGTAACTTTACACTTTTAAGTTGCAATGTCTGAATACAAAATACCAACTAACACCAATTCATCATATTAAATATACAATCAACTTGTTAAGTAAATGAAATTAAATCAGTCGTAGTGATTAGAGCAGACTATTCCCTATAAGCAGCACTGGTTTGTGATGACAGGAGCGCTGGTGAGAGTAAACACACACAGTAGGGTGTAACTTATATATTAACTGTTACATCTTGAATTATTTTATTAACTCTAGCTTAGACTACTTACATAAACTATATATATTAACAACTGTATGGCCAACGTGTCGTTAGATAAAACGTACGCTGGCATAATCTACTATCTAACGTGCCGATTTGCATCACTGTATCATACGTTCACGAGTATGACGGATGAGTGATCACTGCGCTTGACCATTTTTAGGGAGCTTAATGAACAGGCCCACATCACACATGTCTGGACATGTTCATGAGAAATGTGAAGGATTACGCTATTTACTGCTTCCAATGAGACCTGTTGCAGTTTTATGTAGCAAAATATGCTTTTTTATTTTATTTTATTTTATTATAATCTTCACTGTTACTCTACTTTATAGTTCTCGGGTACGTTTAAAGCATTTATCGATTCCTTTATAAAACCACTGAATTTCTGTTCCGCCAATGCTATCTTTCCAGAACGATGAGCACGGTACGATTTAAGTTTTAGGAATCGGTATTTAGCTGATACGTATTTGAAATTGGACGAAATGGGGGCAAAATTTTATGTTCCTTTAACTGCTACTGCTGAGAAAAAAATAAAGACATTTTATACTTATATATCGCAAATTCGAATCTGTTTTAGCCCATCCTTCAGACAGTGCGGCTAAGGAAATTTGTTCACTTGTGAGATAGTGGAGTAATTAGTTTTAGAGTACAATGGGACTGGCATGTGCTTTTAGATAATATAAAAGTAAATTTTAAAAGAAATAAAAAGTTCCGATCTCTGGTTCATATCAAAAAAAATTTACCAGTACGACTAATATTCTCGTACTGGCACATTTCTGACTGATGATACAGAGTCGTTGTGTTATATGTTACTTTGTTAGTTTACTATATGTCTGATTACTTTATATGAGATAAGTCGTGAAGGTATATATATACAGATATATGTAAAATTCTCGTGTCACAATGTTAGTTGCCATACTTCTCCGAACCACCTTAACCGATTTAGATGAAATTTTGTATGTATACTCTGTAGCTCTGAGAATAGGTTATTTATAGAATATTTATACCCCTAAGTGATAATGGTGACCCTAATTTTAATACTTTACCTATATTAGCTAACCTAAACATTAAATTAAAACTGAATTTTCTTTTGGGCAATTTTTTTTTGTGAATAGCAATTAAAAATACTCTACCTCACCTTTCTAGCAACAATTCCCTATTTTTTTTTTAATAGCAATGTTAATAATTTAAATTGCAAGACAACGTTTGGGAGGGTCAGCTAGTATTTTATATAAATTGAGAAGTCCATGTTTATCTGTGTTTCCCATTGTACTGTCAAACCGCAAACACTTTCCCCACTACTGCGGCCAAGATAACTCTTAAAACAACGATTAAATTTTACTATCATCGCATTACTTCTGTTTGTGTGTTTGTTACGTTGAAATTTACAAGCGGAGTTGCTTCGTGGAGTCGTAAAGAGTTCGCAGATTTTTGTTTATGATGGGTGAAGACGATGTGAATGAGTATTTTTTCTACTTTGTTATTTGTTCGCGTATTTTTTTATAATATAAATATGTAGTTAGTCGCTAGAGAGCTACAATATAAAACACAGTCCTGATCACCTGTATGAATAGCTTTCCTGCATCAATTTTCTATTAAATTTTGCCATGTACATTTGGAATCACTTTGCAGCAATGGTATTTCTAAAGCTATAGAATATTGGAACTCCAAAAAAGAGCATAGTTCTTCTTAAATTATTACTGCAATTTCTCTGGTTCAGTTGGTACTCATAGATGGCAGTAATATTTGTTGGCAATACTAGCAAATAGTAATTTTGGTGGATTGATGCCTTTTGCTCTGTCTGTAAAATGCGTGAACAGTCACGCATTTTCATTTTTGTACGTATTCAAGTTATTGCGTGCTAACCTGGTTTTTTGTCTAGTCAATTGGATTTTTATATTACACTCGCCGCCTATCGTTGATCCATCACCAGCATGATTCAGATCCCTTAAGAAACCTTAATATTTGTTCTTACCCCTGTGCTGTAGTCTCTCTACAAAATCTTGCCAGTTCCTTCCACAATCAAATACGCGGAAGGAAAGAAAGCATGTAGGTTCATGAATAAGAATATTTTGATTTGATTTGATATCGAAAGCCAATGATACGACCGCAATGAAACATAAAGAAGTTAAACAAAACGTAAATATAATTTTATTCCCCCCGTGTTATATTTACACGGCGAGACTGTATCAACACATTAAACGCGGTCGTTATCGCAACTAGCCGGCCATTTGTTAAACTATGGACTTCGGACATATTATTATTTAATTAATTATGCACTAATAAATTTGCTATTTTGGTATGTATATTTTGGTAAATAAGATGCTATTTTGTAGTTTTTTAATGGACGATAGGAATTTTGCCCCTGCCTTCACTAGCAGTATATGCTAGCGGGACACCAATTGAGTGAGTTCAGTTTTTTTTATGGATGATAATGGTTTGGTGACGTAATCAAATCCTCGAAACGGTAAGGTCGCTCCGTGAAGCCTGCGAAGATATCAGGAGACGTATGCGCTTCTGGGAGGAGCTTGGCTGGCTACTTTAGTAGCCTGGCTCTACACGCACAACGGCCCAAATGAGAGGTCAATTGCGGAAAATGGAGTCCAACCTACATTACATTACAATGGTAATGTGCACCCGCCTGCGCTAACAGTTTACGCTAGCGAGGCACCAGTCGAAGATGATAAGATGAGCATGAGGTCAGGTCAGTTAATCCATCGTGACAAATTCACCAAGAATTTATCGCGATGGTTTCCAGGGTGAACCGCTTGGAGGTCAATCTGACATGGTACTCTGCTAGCAATAAGATTATCAATCCACATTACTAACAATCCCCTTTCTCTCCGGATAGGCCAGTTAATCCATCGTGATCGGAGTGGAGGTCAGGACAAAATCGCTAGTAATTTAGCACGATGGTTGCTAGAGGGAACCGCATGGACGTTAAACTAATATGGTTCATTGATAGCAATGGGGTTATCCACTATGCTAACAATCTCCCTAATAAGTTCATTATTTCTTTTTTAAACGAGCAATAGACAAACTTTTTTTCATTCTTGTGCTGAAACAATTCCGAATCAGTGGTAGATTATTTTAAAAAAGTGTGACTATTCAAAGTTCTAAAACAAAATATTTGAATAAATAATTTTTCTATTCCTATTTGCTATTATATTTATCATAAGGCTACTAAAATTTGATGGTGTACATAACAACACAATTAAATATATACTCGTATATGTATAAATATATATATATATATACACATAAATGAATATGTACATTCTTATACAGACATACATTAATTTTTTTTTATATATATGTTTTCGTTGTGGTTCGTTTTAAGGTACAAATGCGGGCTATTGAGGTATTCACGGGCAAAACAAGTTTTTTTTAAAAAATCCGTTTTTTTTCTTATTACCATTACTAAGAAATACTTAACCAAAACAACAGTTACTTGAACATTTAAATAAACATTTCGAACTTCCTTTTTGTTATTACTGTCCTGTGTAATAATTATTTACGACACCGCAGCGGATTATAGTTTCGCCAAGTTATAAAATGAGACAATCAACCAAGTTCATAGTTTAAGTAGTTAAAACATTAATATTAGTCAAGTTAGTGAAATGGCTATTCTGTTTAATATTTATCGTATATCTTATCCAGTTTTATGTCACAACATTCAGCGTGGCAGTTAAATAAGTTTTACTGCTGTTGTGTGGTATGGGAAATGAAATAAAATCTATTATTTATACAATATTGTTTTATGAAGACTATACTTGACTTTACAATAATACTAGCTTTATACCTGACTTCGTCTGTCTTTTTGTGTACACATAAGATAGTCCATAGCAGTCTCATTATACAATCTAACTTCATGTTAAATTTTTTTAAGATTCGTCTAGCAATTCTCCCTTGAGAAGCTAACAAACAGACTGATACAGATATAGAATTTGTAGTATCAGTATGGAAGTATAAATATAAAAAAATTAAAATAGAAATAGACCGACAGATACTTTTTTATGTAAGTACCCTAAATTAATATGACGGCCTCAGTGGTCTAGCGGTTTAAAACACCGCTTTACTTCCGATGGTCGCGGGTTCGATACCTCGCACGGTGCAAACATTTGTATTAATGAGTACGATTGTTTGTGTGTTTTCTATGTATATTATGTATGTATTTACAAAAAATAATGTCTAAGTATTCATATCAGTTGTGTAGTACCCATAACACAAGCTCGGCTTACCGTGGGACTAGATGGCGCTGTGCTAATTGTCCAGGGTCATTTATTTATTATTTAGAAAAAAAACTTTTATTTTAAAATTGGAATAAAAATTCTAAATCTATTTATTTTTATTTTCCATTCTATTTTATAAACATCCATTCAGCCGTTTATCCTAAAAAAGTTAATGAACGAAAATTTCATATTTATATTTTTAGAATTTATCTTAGATATTAATCGTTTAACTTGGGAGTATGT